TGCCCCCTAAAAGGAACGAATGTTCCTAACCCTACGCCCAACAACATACATGGCGATATAGGGGCTTGGGCAAACCCCAACCTGCGAACTCCTTCGTAAGTAAACATAGGTAACACCACTTTTGGTCTGTCTCTTAGTTATGACCAAGAGTGTTACAATATTAGCTGTTAATTCCTAGCAAGCCGGAAGTGGGCAAATCAATTTGAGTTCCTAGTTCGTGATTGGTATTACAGGCCCTTTCCAAGAAAGGAAGTGATGTCGAAAAAGTAAATCCAAAATCGAAATGGAATTATGGGCGAACTAGCCAAATGGTGTTTTTAAGATACATACTTGTACCAAAAATCGCTTTTCTCATACATTTTATAATCCCACTGATGACAAACCCGGTTGCAGAGCTGTTATCAACCAGAATTCCTTTTTGAAGTGATCGGACAGAGAAGCAGTCACCGAATGCCATCCATGCACGTCTGTGAGAGAAGGGTATGTCCGCATTACGTGAATTATATATGGAATTACAGTCAGCTTCAAAAGTTGTGAAGACCTTCATTTCTTAGCCAGTAAACAGAAGGAGAGAGGGAATGAGTGAATAATCGAAATAATCGATGGTATGGGTGGCCAAAGATCATTCATTACTAGTTGATTAGGCTACGAGTACTCTAGATGATTAAAGTAGAGGCCTGGTCCTTGTCGCAATTTCGAATACGCATTAGCAAGGAAAACATAGGTGGATGAGAAATTCATGATGATATCGCGATAAAACCATGATATCCCTCCACGTACCTCGCTCAAAAATACTCGAGAACATTGAAATGCTATTGACAGTACTAGGGCGAACTCTACCCTAGTACTCTTTTGATGAGGATTCACCCCGATAACCGCTTTCATTGGAGGTGCCTCGGTGATGCAAGATAGCAAGCTTTTCCGTTTTCACTAAAACTTTTTTGAAGATAATCTGTCAGAGAAGGTGAAAAGCAAACAACAAAAATGCTGAGCCGCTCCTCTCGCAGTTGACAAAGACCCTAAATCTCCGCTTTTTGAGGCGGAATGCGTCAACTGTCACGGAACGTAGCGATATCGATCGTCGTTTTCTCTCCTATTTCGTCGAAATGAGCGCTTGTCATTATCATTGCTCTTTTACGAATGCATTTTCATCATCTCGCTGTTCAAAGTTTGCCATCAATTTGAGTGATAATTTATGCGGTGCACTATCTAATAAACCGTGATTGCTTTTACGCCTCTTCATAGTTGTTGTTTATGGCCATTAGTCTAACGTTTTCATAGTTGTCTTCTGATGAAAGTTTTGGTACATCCTATCTTTGATTCAGTTGCTGTTATAGCATTATGCGAGAAGTAACTGTTAACGGATACGAGGAAGTAACCAAAGCGATCTCGTCCGCGAATGGTCGAGTCTTCGTTCTGTTCACAGGATCGAAAATTGACGGAAAAAGTTGGTGTCCCGATTGTGTTTCTGGTAAGGATATATTGAAATCTAAAGACAACCTTTTTTGTCATCACTTTATTCAGTTTTATTTAAAACCTGCTCCTCGCACCACCACTTTTTCGCGTATGTGTCACTACGTGCGTCCGAGGTTGCGCGCGGCAAAGCTCGTAACGATTTGAACGACTTTAGCGCCTGTCATTGGGGCCCAAATTTGAAGGAGAGTAGATTAGAAGGATCATCTAACCCTACTTAACTACTCTACTTCGAGTTTGTGCTCTGAAAATTGGCGTCAGAGTCGTACAAATCGTCACGAACTTCNCCCCCCCCCCCCACAGGCGATGTCCAGCGCTGTCAACGTGTTGCTGGCAACACTGTGTTGTCAACGCGATTCGACGAACTGAGAAAGCGCCCATGATCTTACAACTGGACTCGGTAGTCCAGCATGTAAATTGCATCTCTAGCATTAGCGCTCTCCCATGATGTTGTGATGCAGCGATGGACTTCATCAAAAAGGGAGCTGTGAACTGACAGCAATACACATATTTGTCGTGCGCTGTGAGAAATTGGTCCATGGTGGTTTAACTCGGCTCTAGCGAAGTAAGACTTTTACGAAATTAGATTTTTCGGATGCTTCACACGTGAAGATTTATTTCGTTTTTTCATTGTGTTCGGCCTCTTATCAGGAATCAGAATTCAATCGGAAAAAATAAACAGATGAGATCGATGCAATGCCGATGGTGTAGTGAATCGAAATGGTCGCTCCGCGGCGAGAGCAAAGTCGCGCGCGAAGGGGGTCGACCTACATGAAAAGCGCTAGAACTGCGTAACGAGGCCACTGGTCTGGACCAGCGTCCGGCGAGTCGATTACTCGAAACTTCAACTGCTCACCTCCCCAGCGATGGNATCGAAATGGTCGCTCCGCGGCGAGAGCAAAGTCGCGCGTGAAGGGGGTCGACCTACATGAAGAGCGCTAGAACTGCGTAACGAGGCCATTGGTCTGGACCAGCGTCTGGCGAGTCGATTACTCGAAACTTCAACTGTTCACCTCCCCAGCGATGGGTGCTGAGCACAGAGCGTTTCCAACGCTGGGCATGGTTCGTTGACAACGCTGAACAGGCCGCGTTAGCCACCACTGGCTCCTTTCAAACTTCAACGACCGACCGACAGACCGACAGTGCTGGCTAGCCACGTGCTGACAACGCTGGACATATAGCGTTCAAGGCCGCGTGACTTGCGAGGGTGTATGATTGGTGCCCTGCGTTGTCAACAGGGGTCAGCGCCGCCGTCGGTCTGTCGTCAGTTGCGTCGTTTAATTCGGAAAGCAGCCACTGGCTGCTTTCAGACCTCGACGTCCGTCCGTCCATCCGTCCGTCCGCCCGATGTGTGCGTGTGCTGCGACGGCGGCGCCTGACGGACGGACGGACGGACGGACGGACGGACGNGAAAGCAGCCACTGATAACTTTTGCGTTGGGGCATGTTATTTTCCACGCATAACATCGGCAACCCATAGCTGGGTTTTCGCGTCATGCCCATTGACTTCATTTAAGCCACTATGGTCTTACTCACCCCAAGAGAGTCTGCCATTTCGCGTACTGGTTAGACCTCCGCTCATTTCCGCAGAGACTCAAACTTCTGCGATCGTCCTAAGCGGTCACCATCTTTGATGGAATAGTCGCCCGTCGCCGATTTCCACGTATGCATATGCTTTCTAAGGGAACATGCTCCTCTTAACTTTCTTTCTGAAATCCATCATTCCTCGCGTTCTTGGTCGAGTAGAAACAGAAGAATTAGAGTATGACTTCGCCGAAGTGAAATGGCGATGGCTATAATTGGCCTCTGGCGAGGAGTTCCACTATCTTTTATTGTCGAAGAGCGCGAGCAGTCTTGAAGGAATGCTTGTTATACGATTGTTGACGTTGTTTTTGGTTGTTTTAAAGTTAAGTTCATTTACAGCTGAGCCGTTCATAGAGTCAGTGACACACAAAGAAGACGTTAAGTCACTCGATGCTACATTTATAACTTGTTTCGTTGGAGCAAGAGATTAGTAAGTAGTTCACGTTCTTTTTTTGATATGTCGTGGATCTAGATATGTATTCAATGCTTTTTAATGCATCTTGAATCCAGCATTTTGTCCGTTTCAGTTGGAAAGACCCTAAGTGCCCATTCCGAACGGATCCAACGTACAAGCTCACCTGCATACCTACTTTGATCGAGTGTGGAAAAAAGGCAAGAAATACTACGTTCATAAGAAGTTTTGGAAACGTTTTGTTCGCTGTACAGCGAATTGTCCTCAGGTTTTCTGATTGCGCTCGGTTATATGGCAACTTGTATTCTTTACTTTGGTCTAGTACAGAGGTTAGAGAGCTGAAACTCGCGCTCACTCAATCTTTTGCAATCTTGTTAAGGATGACTCTTGTTAGGTCCTATAAATTAATGTAGAGTGAGGAGGCCAGGTTTAGCTTCAATCGTTGCGACATAGGCGATAACAGACTCATGGTGAGCGGATTACACAGGTTATCATAGACTTTCGTTCACTGCAGTAAAAAGTTACGCGTAGACGTCCGAAGGACTTGTGTATCTTGAGACACTGGAAACATCCTACTCTTGGAGATGGTCTGCACGTGCTGCATAAGATAGTGCAGTGTGGTTGATCCGCCCTGTGGGTACATATGATCCTCAAAAAATGTGGAGTAGTCTACTAGGGAACCATTCGAGGACCCTTTCTAGAGAATATTTACGTAGAACCTAGAGCTTCAGGTAGATGTTATAACTGAATTCCACCTAAGGGTTCATCAATAAATGTCCTCCAATGCATGTAGTATATGGCATAGTACCGAGATATTTCTTCACTGAGGATTCTTCCTCACCCAAGGATTGTTAGGGCTGAAGGCGAGGCTACGTTGGACAAACTCAGGTGGCGATTGAGGGGTAAGTCGCCCGCTAAAAGCCGCCGCTACTAGCCAAGAAACAGAGGTAGATACATGGAATGGACTGGGAGTTTTTTTTTACCGGCTAGGTTCATTCATACCTGCTTCCTTCTCGCAGATGTATGCATTCTGCATGTGTGGAGAGTTTGCGGGTGCAGTCGTATTCTGCATTCGAATCAGCCAAAAGTTTGTATTTATGTAAACGGGAAGCGTCATACCTACGTCTTCTCATGCGCAAAACTTTCTCTTCTGCGCAGGACCTCCACTTGCGTCCTTTGATTTTTTAGGCATTCAATTCAATAATCGTATTTTTTACTCTATGATTTATTTCGAAAAAAGCTAGTCTTGTAATTTCGATCGTCGCATTTATCGTATGCGCGATGGGAAACTCGGCAAATCGAGTTGGACATCTGCGATTTGTAGGATGTGCTTCAACCCAGGCCTAACAATCTTCATTGCCTACGTACGAACATCAAGCTACGGAAAATTCAGGAGCATTCTACTATATGGACCTAGAAAACGCTACAAAAAGGAATATCCTTTTCTTAAGGGCAACGGCGAAGACTGGCCTGAGAAGAACGGCTGAAGGTCTTCACATCTGGGCCCAACGAAGGAATGGGAGAGGTGAAGTGCCGATTGGCTTCACCGTTTGAGCCAAAACCGTTCGCAAGTTTTGTAGGAACCCTTTCACTCACGTTGCGCAAAGTGGACTGTTCTGTAATAACGTAGACCACTCTTCTTCTTTCAAAACTTTTCCTAAGACCGCTGTGTGTTGTCACGAATTTCTACGGAATCATTTCGATTTCCTTACGAGTAAATGAAAAGGTTAGGTTTTTGACAGCATCGGTGTAGTATACATCTCGTTGAGAATCTTGAAAATACTGCGAGGAAAGCAGAGGCAAGCTTCCAGTAGACCCCTCGCTTCGATGACCAACAGAGAAGCAATATATATGATGAGAAAGAGAGAAGGGTTTCAGTTCTGGGTGAAGCCACTCTGGCTATGAAGCGGATCCGCAGTAATCGCACGCAGCTGCGCCAAGCAGAATACCGAGACGTTTCCCCTGCGGTGGAAAATCATGACTGAACAGTTACTACATCTCGAAAAAAATTGAGAAAATCATTTACGCCGTTTGCCGTGATTTCTTCGACAGCGACGTGTACCTGCCTGCGTACCATCTCAAGCAAAATTGATCTCTGTCCTTTCAGTTCTTCTTCGAATTCGCCACCTCATTAAATCGGGAGTTGTACGACATCCGATCTCAAGAGCGCTAAACTAAAACATCTATAGAGCCTTCCGCCAGTTGTCATGAAAACCTTGGCTCGATTTTGGGCGGTGTTTTTGACATGCTAAGCGCAATATTCTGCTGCGTTCTAAACAATATTGGCTACAATCGCTCGAAATGTCTGCTTTCAGTAACAAGTGGATTTTTCACTACCGGTTATCCATAGCAGGTCTGGCAGAATACTGCATGGAGGACAGCCATGCGAGCAAACAGAATTCCAGAGAGGTTCAGTACGGCCGATTGCATACATACCATCGTGCGACTAAAAAGTGTCGCGAGACGCCTTGATACTGCTGAGGCAGTAGTGGTAATCATCCCTTGGACGACGAAGGTGCTCCTTCTGAGCGTATGTACGCCAGGGCTACATACATTGGTGTGTGCTTTATAATCAGGAATCTTTCAAACAAAGTACGAAATTTTACCTAATTCTGGCATGAAGACTTCGATCAAATCGAAGTGGCGAAGTTCATGTGGGAAGTAGTGTCCACACCGGATTCGCTTCCTTTGTTACACTTTTTCACCCATTCCCTTTTATTTGCTCTTGTTTTGCTTCTCACTTGGCGAAACTGTTAGTTGCATGTCACGTCCTCCGTAGGCGGGCCTTCGCTAAACTTACATGTGCTCTGTTGAACTTGCTCTATGCCGAAACATCATAATTTCATCCGGACCTCTTAAAGTGTTGGGAGACTTGAATTCCGCGGAAAGATCTCGAAGTTTGGTCAATGAATTCCTCATGACTTAGCCAGTTCTAGAATAAAGGACGCGAAATGGTCCCGTCGAACTTGCTCATTGTGCGGACAGAAACTACAATTAGTCAGAGTCAGTCAGTTAATCAGAATAGCAAAACATCACAGCAGCAAATTGTTGTCGACTAGGATATGCGAGATATCTGCTATATGCTTAGTTGACAACAAGTTGTTGCAATGATGGTGTAAAAAATATGGCATTGTTGCTTGTCAAAGTAAGATTCGACCAAAAGAAGTTCAAAATGCGCCCCAATTCTCGATATAGTTTGCCGTGAAGGTGATGTAGTGCTAACAGCCTAATGTGAACAATGGTATAATGCCGATAATTGATATAAACTGTAAATATTGATTCTTTGAGGTTTGGTAAGAGCACC